GAGAGAAGAGAGAGAGAGAGAGAGAGAGAGAGTAGAGAGAGGAGAGGAGAAGAGAGAGGAGAGAGAGAGAGAGGAGAGAGAAGAGGAGAGAGAGAGAGAAAGAGAGGAGAAAAAGAGAGTCCAGATAGAGAGAGAGAGGAAAGAGGGAGAAAGAGAAAGAGAGAGGAAAGGGAGGAAAGGAAAGATGAGGAAGGAGAGAGAGAGGGGAGAGGAGAGAGAAGAGAGAGAGGGAGAGAGAGAAGAAGAGGAGCAGGAGAGAGGGAAGAGAGATAGAAGAGAAGAGTAGATAGATAGATAGAGAGAGATGAGAAGAGAGAGAGGAGGAGAGAGAAGAGAAGAGAGAAGAGAGAGAGATGAGAGAAGAGAAAGAGAAAAGAGAGAGGAGAGAAGAGATGAGAGAGAGAAAGAGAGAGAAAGAAGAGAGGAAGAGAGAGAAGAGAGAGAGAGGAGAGAGAAGAGAGAGATGGAGAGAGAGGAAGAGAGTAGTAGGATAGATAGAAGATAGAAAGAGAGAGAGAATCAAATAACTTGATCCGTAGTTAACGACAAACGGTACTTTGGAAATCTTTTTAAACAGTTCCCTCGGTACCTCAAGTGCAGGTTAATGAAGCTAGAGACCATTTGGTATCGAATTTCAACGGGAAATGTTATCCGTGAGAAAAAGAAATAAAAACAAAAAATAAAAAAACGAGGACATGTTTGAAAGCTTATATTTTACGTTTCACATTAATGTTAGTGTTATTTTATACGTTGTTGTATGTTGCCCTGTGTGATATCATATACATACATACATACACACACACACACACACACACACACACACACACACACACACACACACCACACACACACACACACACACACAAACATCACATAGTATCGTATATATCATATATATATATAAGTATATAATATAGGTTATATATTTATATATTCACACACCACACACTCACACACACAGACACACAACACAGAGAGAGATAGAGAGAGAGAGAGAGAGAGGAGAGAGAGAGAGAGAGGAGAGAGAGAGAGAGAGAGAGAGAGAGATACACAAAACACAAGCACAAATAAAAATAAACACAAACACCAATATACCTACACTCCAGTAACTTACCGACCATCCCGCCTAGCAGAACCACCAAAAAAAAACACAAACAAACAAATCACAGAGAGCTATACTATACTCGCCTCTTCAATGTACACTAAGTTCTCTCCCCAAATTCAACGTGGTAGAGTTAACCATTTTCTCCTTCCTCGTTTCCAAACTCGAGAAAACAAACAACTTCTTTATTTATTTTTCTTTAAGACGACAACCTCCCGCGAAGATGGCAGTCTCCGTAACGCTTAACCCCCCCCCCCCGTCCACTCCCCAGCCGCTTTCTATGCTCTGTTAATTATAAGTTTAGCCATGTTGGGAGAAATACAGGCACTCTAACTCCTGGCTGTGGCGCGTGTATTCTTATATATTGCCTGCGAAGCCACAAGCACAGCGAACAAAACATTTGTAAAGGTTAGTGAGAGCGAGTATGTTGCTTGGGTTGTTTCTACTTTTGGGCGGAAGTAGAAATATGCAAGCGGACCGTGACAGTGTGCAGGGGCGAGATGCTGTCCTGAACGAGGGTCGAAAGGCCGAGGGGGAGGGAGCAGCGGGCATAACAGAATAGAGAGAGCGTGGGAACAGGAGGAGGGAAGAACGAAAGCACTAGAGCGAGAGGTCGGGACGGTAGGGAAGCGGGAAGAGAGCAGAGAGAGAGGGAGCAGAGTTCTGGGAGCTGGCGAGGGACGGGGGACCAAAGAATAGAGAGGCAGGTGGCCGACAGGAGGGAGGGAAGAGCGACGAACGAGACGAGGACACGAGAGAAGCCTGTCGCGAGCGGAGGGAGGCGCCCACAGAACGAGAGAGAGTGACGCAAGTACGGGAAGCGAGAGGGCACCAGGGGGACAAAGAGATAGAGAAGAGACCACGGCTCGGACAGGAGGGCAGGGAAGTAGAAAGAGAAGGAGACGAGAAGATCGAGCAGAGGAGCGAGCGGAAGCCCAGCAGAGGAGAGAGAGAGTGGAAGGGAGGGAGCGCGGACAGAAAAGATAGAGAAAGTGGGAGGAGGGAGGCGAAGCAGAGACACACGAAGCAGCAGACGAAGAACGACGCTGAGGAGGAGCGACAGACGAGAAAGGGGTGAGTAAGAAGTGGCCAGGGAAGCACGGGACCAAAGAGCAGATCAAGGAAACGAGAGAGAGACAGTGGGCAGAGGAAGGAGACGCGCGGAACGAGAGAACACCGGCTCAGAGTAGACAGAGAAGCTGGCAAGGGACAAGGAGAGAGATGACCAACAGAGACAACCCCGACGAACCACCACCGCCGAGACCAGGTCGAGAGTTGGAGGAGAACGCAGAGCGCGAGGCGAAGAGAAGAGAGAGAGAAGAGACGGCAGAGAACGTCTAAAATACCCGAGGACAACCCGAGCAGGGATGGCGACAGAGAGAGCAGAAACGAGGTGCGGGAGGAAAGGCCAAGGAAAGCAGACAATACGGGAGTGAGATGATGACCGTAAGCACGACGCAGAACAGCAACTTAAGACCGTGGAAGGCGAGGGCCCACACAGCGAAGAGACAACAAGAGGCAACGTCGAGAGCACCGAGAGCCAGCACAATGGGAAGGTGGAGGCAGAGGGGACAAAGAGACGAGCTGACGAAGAGAAAACGACGAGAATAAGAGGACAGAGGGCGAATAGAGCAACGTAGAGACACACGCAACACCACTCCTCTTGACCGCCATAACCATTCCTCAATTTCACGTCAACATATCTCCGAGTACCTAATAAGCAGCAAGCATTAAACAACACTTCTTAGAATCTTTCTCTCCGCCCACCGACGGCATCCTGCTACGAAATCTTAACCTACACGTAGCAGTTACTACCGTCTTGCAAGATTTTTAGTCTTCAATATGACGTAATACTTTGTCATCACATCCTTCTCATATTACCCAGGCGAAGGTCAATCTGGGGATGGGAGAAGAAACAAAGAAACGATAAGGAGATATATATATATATATATATATATATATATATATATATATACATAATATTATATATATATAATATAATATATACATATATATATATATATAATATATATATATATATATATATATATATATATATATATATATAGTGTGGTGTGTGTGTGTGCGTGTGTGTGTGTGTGCACACACACACACACACACACATATATATATACATATACATATATATATACATATATAGATACACACTCCTATTCATATTCCATACTCATATTCCACATCATTAAATGTTCTTCAGTATCAAGACTTATTATGGGTATATACCTTAAGAAAGTTATCAATGTATTCAAAGTGACTATTAATTCTATTAATTCGTGTAATTCAAGGATTGAGTTAAATCTTTATGGACATAAATACATTTGTTAATTAATCATTCATTATCAGTGTAATGTAATAAAATCATAATACCAAAGATCATATCAAACAGAAAAACATACAAGCATTATTTAGGATCTTGACACAAACATATAACTAGACAGTTATGACTCATTGTTATATGATTATCAATCCTGAAACTTGATAAAAACAAAATCAACATTATTCAAAATTATGTCATATCCTAATGAGCTAAAAATTATCGAACAAAAGAGCAATAATTACGAAAGCAATTAATTATTTCATATCTCACACGTTAAGAAATTAATTTGATGTTTCACAAAAGAATAATAATCACAAGAGAAGCAAATACTTCAATTAAATAGACATGTTCTGTGAATTGATATTTTTCTAAAAGAATAAACTGATTTAATTTTTAATAAGCACAAACCAAGTTTTGTTTTACGTTATTAATATTTAATTCACCATCAAGCAATTAACATAAATAATCATGACAAAAATCAAAATTCTTGATACTTCTTTTAGTGGGTCGTACGAGTGTTTTAGAGGCGGCTCGCCAGTGTATTATTCCATCTTTCATAGAATACACCTCAGGTATATCTGATTTGCGATTTGTTCCGCTCTTTCACAACATACCGAGTGCCCACGGGGAGTGTGTGTGAAACTTCGCTATCCTTACTCATGTATGAGTAGGTAGGTAATGTCTATGGACGCTAGTTAGCTCCTAGTTGCACAATTCTTTAGTGGTCGTGTACGAGTGGTTTAGAGCGGCCGCCTTGCAATTCACGTGCAACGGCGGCGACGGATCGAATCCCGATTGGAGAGGTTATAAATATTCATGATAAAAGGCCAGTGCATATTCTATCTCTTCATATACATACATGTTTTAATGTGTGAGTGATATATATATTATTACCTATATATATGATAATATATATAATATATATAATAATATATATATATATATATTATATATATATATATGTATATGTATATATATAATACATATTATTTTATATATATATATATCTATATTCTATCTAATCATTATCTTCTATTCTATAANGTGTTATCAAAAAGTTGCCAAAGGCTTCAAGACCAGCTCTGCTTTACCTTGAATTATCCAAAGGGCAATGGACGTTGCAGAGAGAAGATAGGAAAGCAATGTTTAAATGTACGTACATACGTATATAAATCAACATATTATTAAAGTATGTATATATATATATATATATATATATATATATATATATATATATATTATATACTTATATACATATATACATGTATATATGTATACATACATGTATAAATGTGCGTACATACGTATGTATGTATGTACGTATAAATTATGTTTATGTGCATGTCTA